TTCAGCAATTTCTTTCTGTGTCTTACCCTCTTGCTTGAGGGTGTCAATGATGGCCTTCTGGACAGCAGTCAGGTCGGCAGTCTTACCCATGATTGCGGTTTTGAGTAATGAACAAGGCTGGGAGTTTTTAAAAGCCTCAGGAATCTTTTGCAGGTGTTTAGAGTTACGTCGTTGATTCAGATGGTTAGGTTAATAGCTTGTTTAGAGAACCTTTTCATGATATGCTAATTTTTTGGGACAGGCATTTTGGGTTTTATGAGCTGTATGCCATAATCATCAGTATTAAAACAATTAAAGACCTGAAATATTTCAGTTGGTGTGCAATGAATCTGAAATATATGAAAGTTTCATTTTTATCATTACATTATGGAAAATAATGACCTTTATCACAATATGCTAATTTTTTGAGAAGGACCTTTATATATATTTTTTAAATTAACCTTTTTTGAGCACTGCAGACAAAAGAAAATTTGTTGTTGTGCTCCAAAATTACTATCAAATTTTATTTATCAGATATTTCAGGTCAAAGCACTCGTTTACTTAATGTTCATACTTCAGGTTGAGTTTCATAAGCAGTGTCATAAGTTTTTTTCTTTTTGAAACTTGGAAGCAAAATATTTCTGAGGTTTTTATGGACAAAATAATTAATTGATCATCTTCATTTCTTAAAATCTGGAAGAGATTTCTGATCCAGAGTAACTTTATTTAAGTAGTCAGAATTTATTCATAGCTTCCACAGGTACAGCACTTGGCTACACTGACATTTAGCCAGGCTTTGACAATCAGTAGCATAAGACAAATGTAACATCCTTCATTTTTTATTTGTCAAAGCAGACTGTTTCATCAAAGCTCTGTTTTGTGTTTCCAGGTTGCTGTGTGGAACTCATACAGGGGAATGACCTTGATGGAAAAGCCCAACCGAGAAAAAAACAACAATGTGACAGACTCGCTGGCTAACAGGACTCTGATTGTCACAACAATTCTGGTGAGAAGGAAAGTTAAACAGAGAAGTGTATAAGGAAAAGTAAGAAGTACAGTAGTCCCTCGCTACTTAGCGGCTAGACTTTGGCGGACTTGCTCTATCGCGATTTGTGAACGTACAGTCCATAATATATAATATTGGACAAAAAAAAAATTAACATTACTCACGCAATTGGGACTGTACTGGATACAGTACTGTACAGTAACAAGTTAACGAAAAAATTTAATGTTTCGGATAGGTGCTGTCATTTTGTAGTTTCCTCTCTGTAAGCCTCCACTGTATTCCTGCTCATACTGACCACATTTCCCAGAGGGCAACAGGGCCCTGCCCAGAAGCCCGTTTCCTTCTGCTGAAAAAAACAGAGGTACTGTAAAGTTTTGATCTGATCTGCACCCTCAGAGCAGTACCAGATTTCCAGACCCATCAGTGAATCTTGAGAATTAGTATCCCACCCACGTGGACCTCCGAGCAGACGCTAGTGGCTGAAGGTCCGGCGCTCCGTCCAGAGCCCTTTAGGACTTTTTTCATCTCTTTTAACCGGCCCAAGAAGAGCCCTGAGCGGGACATGTCCGGCCAATGATCCGGTGATCCATCAGGAGCTTAATGGGACTTTTTTCACATCTTTCAACCAGCCCACGATGAGCCCTGAGTGGGACGCACGTGGCTGATGATCCAGTTGTCCATCTGAAGTTTAACTGGACTTTTTTTCACCTTTTTCAACCGGCCGATGAGGCCCTACGAGTGGGGACACGATGGTAAGTCAAATTTAGTATGAGTATATTGTTAAAATTCGTAGGATTAAGAGTTTAGAGCATTGATTGATGGGTTGCTACAGGGTATGGCTGCAAAAACGAGACAGAGTCGGTTCTGCAGAGCCCGGTAATTAAAATTTGTAGCTAAATATACAGTACTGTGTGTTGTTAAAATTATGTAAGAGTTTTAAGCATTGCACAAGTGTGGGAAGGTGGGAAGGGTTTAAAATGCCTTAATATATACCTGTATATAAATACTAAAATAAACTACTACTTACTACTACTACAGTAAATACTAAAATAAACTACTACTTACTACCACTACAGTAAATATTAAAACAAACCACTACTTACTACTAACCATGTACATAATTTTGTTCCATCTCATGTACCACATGAGATGGTAATGACAATAAAGTTTACTTGAATTTGGACTACTGTATCCCTACTTCGCGGTTTTTCCACTTATCGTGGGTGGGCGTGGTCCCTAACACCCGTGATAAACGAGGGACTACTGTATGTTTAGAGACAGAAGGACAAATGTGTAGAAAATAAAGCACAAAGAGCAGAAAATCGTGAGTCAATGCTGCAGAGGGGTAAATGTGTTTTGTTTTGTTGTCACATTAATGCTATAAAAATATAATAAAATACTTAAAAAAATTGTATTTATCGAATATCTTCACATAATAATGTCAACTAAAATTATATTTAGTTCCTTACCTATCAAAACATCATCACACTAACACTATGAATTCAGCTTCTTTTATTTAAATGATAAGATAGAATAAAAGAAATTCAGTCAAATTACAATGTTTTTTTCTCATCATTTTTTTTTCTATGCAGGAAAATCCATATGTGATGGCAAAAAAGTCTGAAAAGGAGCTGGTTGGAAATGATCGCTATGAGGGATACTGCATGGACCTTTTAAAGGAGCTCTCCAACATCTTGGGTTTTACGTACGAAGTCAGACTAGTTGGTGACGGCAAATACGGAGCCCAGAACGACAAGGGAGAGTGGAACGGGATGGTCAGAGAGCTCATTGACCATGTAAGTAAAAAGTTGTTACAAATTGGGGAGGGAAGTTGGTTTTATAATTATTCTGTAATCAGAACATGATTATTTTCTTAGCTCTGATGAGTTCTAGCAGAACAAACACAATCAAAGCATCAAATTATGAGCTGGTAAAGACAAATAATCAAGGAACGTGATGTTTACTCCGAGACTGTAACTTCCTCTTTGCAGATGAAATCCCTAAAGATCTGTTCATTGTTTTGACTGTAATAAATATTAATGTGCAGTTGCTTCTGCTTCTAGAAATGTACATTTTAACAGTTTGTCTCTCACTTAAAAAGAGCAAATCTTTTATAAAGTACATTTTTGTGCCAGGTTGCAGACCTCGCTGTGGCTCCTCTGACAATCACATATGTTCGAGAGAAAGTGATTGATTTCTCCAAGCCCTTCATGACTTTAGGTATCAGCATCCTGTACCGGAAACCTAACGGCACTAATCCAGGCGTGTTCTCGTTCCTAAACCCTCTGTCTCCGGACATCTGGATGTATGTGCTGTTAGCCTGCACTGGGGTCAGCTGTGTGCTTTTTGTGATTGCCAGGTAAGAGCAGGGGTTATTTGTTCATTATAATGTGATAATGATTGTTGAGGTTATTATGCATTTTTATTTACCCTGCTGTGTTGTTACTAAATGGGGTTTGAGAAAGTTATGTATTTAAAGTAATCTTAAAGGGTGGTTAACTCATCTCTGCTAGCCTTTTTGTGTGAATTTTGCATATTGTTTATATATCTGGGAAGCCCCAAAACATACAGTAGTCCCTCGCTACTTCGTGGTTTGTTTTTCGCAGACTCGTTCTATCATGGTTTTTCAAAGTAAGATTGGACATGACACACAACTGGTTGATTGATGGATGAGCTGCACGATCGGCACGGGATTTTTATTTAAAATAAATGATTTAAAATCGTTTAGCACCTGCTGCACCTGTGTGCAGCCCACAGCTGCAGGAGAAGCTTCCTCCTGCAGCGTGTCATATTTCCACTCTGCAGCAGAGAAGTGGGCGTGGCCAAGAGTGCTGGTAGATGGCCAGTTTACAGTATTTACTTCAGGCTTGGCTAGTGTTTAAAACCCTCGATAGTAGATTTCACCCGGCAGTATGAATCAAACGTTGATAATAAAAACACAAACCATGTTAGAATGCACATATTACACAGCTGAATAAATAAAATATGGTCTGTTGAGTAGAGAGGTATAAAACACACTTCTCTGTGTGTGTCTATGTAAAGAGTCATCATGTCACTTTCTTTCTGTTCTTTCTTTTGTTGTCTGTAAGGTTTACACCATATGAGTGGTACAACCCACACCCATGCAACGCGTCCTCCACTCTGGTACAGAACAACTTCACTTTACTCAACAGTTTCTGGTTTGGCATTGGAGCTCTCATGAGGCAAGGTACATGTCTCACTGTTAGATCAACTTTAGTTAGCTCTAGAGGAAATTGTCCAGCTTAATCAATAATAAAATTAGGAGAATGATGCTGGATGTTATGAACACTTTATGTGATTCAGTCCAGCATGATTCACTAGACGACCACTAAATCTTCTGACTAGTTACACTAGAAGCAAACCATTTTGACAGTTTTATTACATTTTCCCAGCAGCAACAAACTTCATAAACGAGGAAAAAAGAGGGAAGCTTTCAATTTTTGTTTACATAATATGTAATTTATTTAAATTTCTAAACGCAAGGCTGTGTTCTTGCTTTCCAGTCTTTCGTTTGAAAAGTGTGCTTGTATAGGTTTTTCTGTGTTAATATGGAGACAGTTGTGTGTTTCATTCAACTGACCTGCTTTTGTTGGTTACATTTTTTATAATCATTTTCTTATCAACTCTACTAAATAAGTGAAGAAAGAAAGCCAGATACAAATTTAAATGTGCCACAATAATACGCTCTAAATACACAATAAATGTATATCTGGTTTGATTTTTTTGCATGTTTATAAAAGCAATTATAGTTATAAAGCACAGTGTGATCCTTCTTATTGAATGCCAGTACATTATTGATGGGATGTGTTCTGTTATTCTCTAAACAATCAGCTTGTCTGTGTCTGATAGATTTGTCTAGTTTTTACATCTGGACTTAAGTGCTCATGCAGAAGTAATTTTTGTGTCAAAAGGCAGTGATGAGGAAGAAAATGTGAAATAAATGCATTATTTCTCATTTAGAGCAGAGAGTCCAGATGTGGCTCTGGTATGAAACCAAGAAGACTCCAAGCCAGAATTTGAGTTGTTTTCTGGCAATAGCCATTTATTTCAGTTTAAGTTATGCCATACTGATATTTGCGAATTTACTTATACCTTAACATTATTATAAACTTTTACACAATATAAACCTTTTCAAATAATGTCCTGATGCATGCTCAATAATCCAGGGGGATCAATCTAACAAGGTTAAATCAGGTCATCTGGATGGATCCAAAAGACTAGTTTGGGATTTTAGAAGCCTAGAAGTCACTTTGTCTTTTGGATAAAAGATGAAACATTTCAGCAAAGAAGAATCCTTCCAGATGACATGACTTAACTTTGCTAGACTTTTCAAATAATCATTTAATATATATTTTTTCTTGCTTTGGATCCAGGCTCAGAGGTGATGCCTAAGGCTCTGTCCACACGTATAGTTGGGGGTATTTGGTGGTTTTTTACTTTAATCATCATCTCCTCCTATACGGCCAACTTGGCTGCCTTCCTAACCGTGGAAAGAATGGATGCACCCATTGATTCAGCAGACGACCTTGCCAAACAAACAAGGATTGAATATGGAGCAGTGAGAGATGGATCCACTATGACATTCTTTAAGGTAAATTATGAAGGCCAAACACAAGATAATTTGTCTTCCTGGAAGCAAAATGGAGACACGAAGGATGGATTAAGTCTTTTGCACAGTGCTGTAGCGTACTTGTGTCTTTAGGCATGGCTCCCCTTCCTGCCTCACATCTCACCCACACACACACACACACATCTCTTCTCATGTCTTGTGGCTCAGCAGGCTTGAATCACGCTGGTCTTATTCTCCCAGATTCAGCCAGTGATTATGGCCACATTTATAAGAAGACGCAGGCTGTGTTTGCTTCAGCAAACTGAATCAGCTGAAAGAGCTTAATAAAGCACAGCTGTCCTGTTTTCTCTGGCATACCAAGGAGAGACACATGTACATGTGTAATGTCTTATACTTTTTATTGTTGGATGTAACTGGGACCCCGTGTACATAATTTCGCTCCACCACATGTACTACATGAGGTGCGAATGACAATAAAGAAACTCTGACTCTCTGACTCTCTGATGTACACACAAGGAGAACATCTTGATGTAAAAATATTTATGTTCATAGCTTTAATTGAAATGCATTTATGCCTAATGGTAGCATTTTTATTAAAGCCTCATAGCAAGAAGGTCACAGGTTTGCCTCCCAGCTCAGCCAGCCAGCCAGCCATCCAGCCATCCATCCATCCATCCATCCATCCATCCATCCATCCATCCATCCA